CTTGCAGTCCCCCTCAACGAACCAACGGTAGACGTCATCCACAGTCTCGCCTGTCCGAATAACGCCGAACTGGTGGAAGGGCTGCGTTGCTTGTGGGGCCCCAGGAATTGCGTCATTCGATCCCCCTGAAGAGTTGCACGGATCTTTAGGTTCTTGAATCGATGTGGATGTGTCTCTGTGCAGCGGCTTCTCAACATGCTCTGGGGGCTCCTTATGCTGCTGTTTTCCCTCCTCCCGATGCTCTTGCAGTTGTTCTTGCTGCCGCCGTTCGTCCCTCTCAAGATTCCCCTCCTGAAGGTCTTTCTGCTGCTGATGCTGCTCCTGTGCCCCGTTCTCTGGCTCCTGCTGCTGCGCATGCAGACTCCTGTCGGCACTATGAGCCCCGAAGATGCATCGGAGATGGCAGGGTCTATCACATCCGTCACAGTGCACGACCTGCTCTCCCCAGATAGGCATTGCTTGCTCATTTCCTGCCACGTCTGTTGCCTGGATTGTTTGTTGTCCCTGCGGCTGGCTCTTCTGTGGCCTCTCGCCTGTTCCTTGTTTGCCTGTTGCTGCCGACTTGCCGCCACTGTCTGCAACCTTCAATGAAGTCTTCGAAGAGGCATTTGCCACTACGGGTATTTCATCCGAGTGACAATAGGGGCACACTTCGCCCATCCGGGCTCGAGTCTGCAACGTCACGTCGTTGTCCCGCACCAAACACTCTGCATTCCGTGCCGGAGCCAGGGTCTGTTGCACATTGAATGCCGCAACATGCACAAAGACGAGCTAGTGAGAGAATGCATATACGGTTGCTGTTATGTATACTGCGTTGTATCATTGCTTGTCATTCGATTGCATATACGGTTGCCGTTATGTATATTGCGTTGCATCATTGTGTGTCAATCAGCGCACCTGACATGCGCCGGTCTTAGCGCCAATTCGATAGTCAAGGAGCTCGCGGGCTATCGCCTTGTGCGATGCATCTTGCACCCTATTGAACCAATCATAGCCGAAGTCAGCCAGCACTTCTTCTCCTGCACCATAAGCAACACTGACCAGCAGCAGGCATCAATGAAAGCTCACACGCTGCTGCTTGTCATCCAGGGAGCAAGCCAGCCGAATAATGCTGCTTCCCTTCATGACACTTGACCCCACACGCATTTACATTAAAAGGCGGCTGTGACGAACACACCAAACAAATCCAGAGATCAATAAAACATCTGGGAAAGATATCCGAGAAGAGGCTACTATCGGAAAAGCCTGGGAATATACCTGGCTCTATCGCAACTCCCGGTATCGTTGTGAGAACAATGTGGGGCCAACCGTCCACGAAGACCTGTTGCCACTCTGTGTTGCAGTGGCATATTTTTTCTCCTAGCAGTCCAATGGTGCCTGAAGAGGTGACAGAACAGCAAGCCGTGCCTGGGAGCTCAACCATGCCAGCAATTCATCTCACATCACGTTTAAAGCTTATCACCAGCACACGCACGGAACCACCGACTGAGGACACTATATACGTAGAGTTCGCTAAGCAACATGCCGCTACCGGGGGGAAGGCAAGATTAGATATATAAAGCAGAACGGGGGTTGAGCCCGCCCATCACTAAAACGCAAAGCACGAAGCATACGGAAAATAGAGCAGATGAAGCACCCCTCGCCAAACCACGAGAAACGGCAAACGGAGCATGGAAACCAATGAGCAGATGACGAAGCTCACCATAGTGATTGACAAGCGACATTTGGTTACATGCATCGTGCGAGTCCAACACCAACTCTCCGCGCACAGGGAGTGCCACACGCTGGATATTCGAAGAGCCTAAGGATCAAAACGCAAGCACAACTTAGCACCCCTTCAGCACAATGTGAACAAGAGGTGGTTTTGGACTGGCACGATGCAGGTAACCAAATGCCGCTCCTCAAGCACTATGCACGCTCTCAGACAGAGGCGTAACATCCCCTCCCTCTCCCCTGAAGGACACAGATGCCTTCATCTCCTGCGCCTTGGAGGTCTCTACTCCCACCGGCATGGCAAAATGCCCCCATATATATATATATATATATATATATATATATATATATATATATATATATATATATATATATATA